AATTTGAAACCTGGAAATGCTCTTTCCTGCATTCTGAGCAACCAAAAAATAAAAAAATTATTAACAATAATTTATCATTACTTAGTGGTAGAAAAACGTAACAATTTAGATCGATTTTGTTAAACAAGGACAAAGGATAAAGCCTAAAACTTACTTTCCGTTTATTTATTTGCTATTCTTCGCTGTTTTGTTGGTATAAATTTAGGAAAAAGGGACTTTTCCTGGGGGGGCAAAATGTGATTTCGTGGGGGGTTAAAAAAGGCCCTGATATATATATATATATATATATATATATATATATATATATATATATATATATATATATATATATATATATATATATATATATATATATATATATATATAAAGCATTTATAAACCTATTTACAAAGCACGCGATTTAATAAACATGTGATATGATAAGCTGACAGGACGCGGAAAGATTAACACACCGCGGTATATTTAAATGTCTAGCTTTTAAATGTTACTTAAAAGGATTTTTTTATTATGCGTACATGCTGATACTAACTCATTACGTTTGTTTAAAGTGGCCATTTTGGGCTTACAAATAATAAAGTATTTCTCCCATAAACACAAATTACATCTATTTGAAGCACAGTTATAAGGCTTAGCTCGTTTCAATAGTTTCCATTCGATTGTATAATGGATGTTTCGATTTTTCAATTCCCACACATATATTTGCTAAGTTCAGTAGCGTTCCGTTTGTCAAAAGAGTTAAATGATGCTTTAGGGTTCGCAAGTCTTGTTTTGAACGAGTTTTCAGTAAGGCCGACATATGTTTGGGGAGGTCTATTGGTAGTTTTGTCCTTAGTAGTGACTGTGGCTTGATATACAACCGATTCGGTGATACATTTATTAGACAGTGGGCACAGTTCTTTATTGTTTTTAGGGCAACCGTGCACATGTCGGGACTATTCGTGGTGAAAGCTGTAGACAGCGTGGATTTGTTGTGTCCATCGATAGTCTGCTTAATGTTTGGCATACAGCTGTAGCTGATCTTGACTGTATTACGGTTGAATATTTTGTGTAATGGGTGCATGATCTGCGGGAAATTCCTCGTCAATTATCTTCAAGAACGTCTGGCCAACATTAGTCGAAACATTCTTACTATATGGTGGATTATACCATATAATTTTTCTTTTACGGCTTCGGGTTTTGTTATTAGTCGTTAGGTTTAGGGGGTGTTTAAACTGTAGCTTGTGGCTTGTTGATATGGCGGGGAGGCTTGTTCGAATGATTCTTGATCAGAGGATATCTCGGTTAGTCGTTTGTTAATGGATAATGGAATATTACGCAGAACACTAGGTGGGTGGTTAGACTTGCTATGCACATAAAGAGGTGTGTTGTTAGGCTTAGAGTATGGATGATATTTACCAGTGGATAGATTCATGCAGTGTGACGTCAAGGAAATTCACGATCTTTTTGTTCGCTTCGATAGTAATTTTCAGGCCATGGTTGTTGAACAAAGTGCACAGATCCTTCTTAATTAGTTCTATTTGGCGCGGTGTTGCTTTGATATTGCCCAAGCCGTCGTCTCTATATATAAACCAAACTTATTACCGTGCTTCATTATAATAAGGTGTAGTAGAAAAGATCTAACCAATTCACAAGATTCGGCACCGTCAAAGCTACCCATAGTGACATCAAATAGATTTGATGACAATTTCTTTCCCCAGTACTTGCCCGAGTTGTACAAGCACGATTTCTTCGCATGTAAAATAATTTCTCTTTCTGCATCTGTGATGTTATCATACTTGGACGCAAAATCTAACGCAGCCTTCAGAAGATCAATTGAGATGGACGGATATAGAAATCAACAACATCAAATGCAATAAATGAGTACTGGCTCTTATCTGCAACTTGATTAAACCAGGACAACACAGATTTAGTGTTTTTCCACTAGTTTATGCGCGTAGCTTCGATGACTTTTGTGTTAATTCTATCCAGGATAAGTTTGCTAACTCTTCCAATTTCAGATTTGCTAGGGTTGATAAGGCAGCAAGTCGGGTTGTTATCAAAATTTGGTTTGTGATCTTTCAACGTTACAAAAGCTCTCTGTGCTGTGGTGTTGATTCTATCAGCAAGGTTTAATTTTTCAGCAATGGATTTAGCTTCGTTTTCAATGTTGATAACTGTCTCAGCCGGGATTGTCTATATTTGTCTTATACGTTTTCGTTACGTTCTTATGAAGTAGATCATAGTTAGATTTAGGGTCCATTTTATAGAAGTTGGTGGTTTTATCTGCAGGAACAAATGGCATATTGGACTTATTTAGAATGTTTCGACTAATGTTGGCCAGACGTTCTTGAAGATAATTGACGAGGAATTTCCCGCAGATCACCCATTACACAAAATATTCAACCGTAATACAGTCAAGATCAGCTACAGCTGTATGCCAAACATTAAGCAGACTATCGATGGACACAACAAATCCACGCTGTAAGCCCACGCTCTATTTGTAAGCCCAAAATGGCCACTTTAAACAAACGTAATGAGTTAGTATCAGCAAGTAGGCATAATATATATATATATATATATATATATATATATATATATATATATATATATATATATATATATATATATATATATATATATATATATATATATATATACCTCAATGTCTTTCTTTCCATGTAACCATTGATCAAATTTATTGAATGAATGTCAAATGGCTAAACACTCTTTCTGCTCGGTGCTGCTCATACTACATGATGTAAATGCCACTGGATCCAGTCTTCCCTGTTCATCAGGTTGAAGCAATGCGCCACCCAGGCCTTCATCACTGGCTTCTGCTTGTATGACTACTGGTTTGCTCAAATTATAATATGCTAGCGTCGGGGATTTTGAAATCAGCTCTTTTGCTTTGGTGAATGCGTCATCTTACGCTTGTGACCAGTTCAATGGAACACCATTTTGAGTGAGGTTCCGTAATGGTTGAATGGTTGCTGAAAGGTGCTCGCAAAATGGAGACAGGTAATTCACCATACCTATGAGTCTTAATACAGCTGCTTTGTTGCGGGGTGTTGGCATTTGTATAATCCCGGACACCTTTCCCGGGTCAGCTTTCATGCCTTCAGATGTGATGATGTTTCCCATGAACTTTACTTCTTTCAGCTTGAACTGCAATTTTCCTGCGTTGAGCTTGATATTTGCTGGATGCATCGTTCCATCAGTGCAATTAAGCGGCGATCATGATCTTTCTCAGCCTGCTTATAGTCATCTCCTTCACCAAAAACAAGAATGTCATCGGCTATGCAGATAACTCCTTCTAACCCTTCAAGGGCAATTATCAGCCTCTTCTGAAACTCCTCAGGGGCACTGGTTATGCCGAATGGTAAACGTAACCATCTATATCTTCCATAGGTGGTATGCATTGTGGTAATGTGCGAGGACTCTTCATCCAGTGGTACATGTAAAAACCCATCCCGGACATCAAGCATTGTGAAGCATTTTGCTTTACACAGTTTGTGAAGCTGTTCATTCAGTGTCGGCATCTGATAAATTGGTCTAAGAATAGCTTTATGGTTTGGCTGGGGTCGATGCAGATCCGGAACTTCTTGGGTGTTTCTTTAATCAATTCATTTGAACACCATGGGGGGTAGGCTCTTCCACTTTCTTAATGATTCCTTCCTGTTCGTACCGATCCAGTGCTACCTTCTCTTTCTCTCTTTTCGCTACGGGAACTCTATGGACTGGCATTTGGATGGGTGACATGTTATCTTTTGTCGTGAAATGAACAGGAGGACCCAGGCACCCGAGACCTGAAAACGTTTCTGCATATTCTTGCAATATGTGTTCCTCCTTCAGTTGACCTGGTGGTGGTAATTTCCTAATAGCAGGTATTTTAATGGGTTTCGAGGGCGTGAGTGGTGGTGTGCATAATTTTAGGCAATTGTTATGAGTTTGCTCTTGATGGTTGCATGTGAGTGAGTTACTATCGTTAGCAGCCCCTTGCTGCTTTGGGCCTGTTGACGTGAAATCACTGTATCTTTCCTGGGCAGGGAAGAGCTTAAAGCTTGGTAAGTTATCTGGATTCCCCATCTTACTCTTTACTGCTGTGGATAGTGTAAATATTTCATCTGCTTTAATCGTTATCAACCCTAGTCTCTCAGAGTCAGTTCCTGAGAGTAGACCAGGTTTATTTTGCATGACGGACGGTGGTAGGACTTGAAAGGTTAAGGTTTCAAATTTTCTTTCTCTTTCACAAAGGAGTTCTACTTGACCAATGGGGTGCAGTGGCTTACTGTTGCCGTAAGGGTATGGTAAGTGACAGTATTTCTGAATCTTAGTGTCTGGTAAGAATGTTTTAAGTGTAGCCTCAGAAATTGTATTGCATGTAGCTGCAGTGTCTATCTGGAATTTGACATTCTTAAATTTTAATCCAGTTTCTGACATAGATAGGTTGGCAAAATATCTTTTCCCTGGGCGCTCAGTGTTGACATTGTGAACCTGTTCTGCTTCCATTGTTCATTATATTGTTCAAATTCATCAGACATATCCTCTTTATTGTCTGTCATGCCCAAATGGTGTATATTTTCTCTGTATCTGGAAGGGGTCCGACCATATCTACGAGTATTGTTCGAACTTTGTGTTCGATCAAATCTTTGGTTTGATCTCCTGGATTTATTTTGATATGCGGGCCTCCCCCAGGTCTGTGTGGTGGTTCCTCTAAACATACTTTAGAAAAATGGTCATTCCCCCCACATTTTGCACAGGTTTTCCCATTCGCTGGGCAGGATTTCCACGGGTGTGGTCCTTTCTGGTTCCCACACCAATGGCATGTCTCAGGGTCCCGTTTTAATTTCATGTCTCTGTGACTGGTCCAATTAACTTGCTCTTCTAAACCCTTTGTTTCTAAACCCTTTTTAGCCTCCCCAATTATTTTGTTTGTTTTCTGGGCTGATTCTATAGCTTTGGCCTCTGTCACTACATCTTGCATTGTTTTTAATGTATTGTTTGGTTTTAAATGGGTTTTCAAAAGTTCAGTACGTATACTACCACTATGCAGACCAAACTCGTTGTAGGCGTTTGATTTTTGTCCTTCTTAGTGGTGCGTGACGCTCGAGGCACTCGCAGATCAGGTAGGTTAAAAGCTTTACTTGCGTATCAGGATCGTTAGTTGAAAACACAATACTCAGAGGCAACTGTTCAAAGTCATGACAAAAAGTGACCTCGTCGAAACTCTTTTCATGACGAATAAATTTAAACCGAGGTATAAATCTTGTAGTCCGTACATTAAGACATGCATACGGAGCATCATGGTCGCTTATCATTAAGTTTGTGAGAACGTCACAATGAGTAACTTGTGATGGCATATTGGTTATCATGTGCGGGTCGATTAGAGTTGCTGATGTTTTTGTAGTACGTGTTGCCTTGGTAACTAGTTGATCCAGGTTCATTGACTGCAGCATGTGAGCATATTACTTTACTGTTACGTTATCTGGCTGCAAGAGATCGATGTTAAAGTCGCCGGTTACTAACAACATCCCGTCCCAGGATACTATTAAGTCACTGAGTAGAGATTCGAAATAATCTAACTAATCTCCATGAGCGGCAATGAACTCTGATCTGTAGATAACACCCAAAAGGAGTTTCCTATGTTTATTCTGTCCAGGGATTTCGACCCATAGATGCTCCAGAGAGGGGAATTTATTTTCTAAGTCAGTTCGCCTTTTAAATTTGATGGTTTCTTTTATGTACATACCAACGCCACCTCCTCCTGCTTTCCCTCTATTGTTAAATACTTGAGTATACCCAGGTATGGATACGTGCTGTAATAATAACTTAGGGGCGGACCATTTGATTTTTGAGGGGGGGGGGGGTTGGAAGATTCAGTCTGTGCAAGAATTTTTTTTCGGCCCAGGGGAATAAGACAGATATTTTTTTCCTGTAAAAGTGCAGCGCAAGATATTTTTCCCCAAGATATTTTGCCCCTCATAATAACGGCTTACAGTAACCAGTAACTTAATTAAGGCTTTCATATAGCTATCGTCAGAGACGTAGCCGGGGTTTTCAGTAAGAGGAGGCCGAGAACTGAATCCCAAGAGGGGCCAAGGAATTTTCACTGTGCTTTATTTTATATGGTTATGTCTTAATGTTCCCCACACTAAAGCATGCAGGTTTACTTACAAAGAATGTATAAGTGCTGCACCAAAACCTAAAACATGCAGGGATAGAGTAGAGTACTCGAAAATGGGGGAGGTACAGTATATGAATGACCTACACCTTGGGGGGTTCGGGGGGCATGGTCTCCCGAGAAAATTTTAAAATTTGAACCTCGGAAATGCTATTTCCTTCGTTTTCAGCTATGGATTCGTCCAACGACAACTTTGCTGTACTAAGCCTAAGGAACACTTACTGTCCTTTATTTTAAACAAGGGAAAATCACACAAAATGAGCTTTGATTAATATGTAATAAAACAAGATTTCAATAATGCGATTTTTAACTGCCTTCCGAAACAACAATGTTCCACCAAATATATAGCTCTGTAACTTTTCAATCGTTCATACAGATAGCTTTGTTGGGAATCGGGTTGCATCCTCTTCAGACTCTCTAAACTGGCATTTTCGCATTAAAATCATCGTATATACAGTACATTCAACTTGCATCCTGTAGATGGGTCTTTGAAGCTTTAATAGTTTGGAGCTATGTTATCAAAAACCGCACACAGACTCAACCATCCAAAAATACTTTTTCTATACCATGCGTATTAGATATGTATAAATAACTTATAAATTTGTACATATCTTAAGCCCAGATTTTCTCAGGGGGGGGGGCAACAATTTTGCCAGGGAACGCCACTGGCTATCGTATGTTACAGGCTTCAAAGGCGGTAGAATCCCTGTGATGTTGTCCACTGTTCACCTGTGTGTTCTTTAAGCAAATGTGCCTGCTCAAAAATACAAAATCTTGCAAGCCTGTAGACACAATACTGAAGTGAAGAACGTCAGTAGATTTACATGTAGGAATTTTTTTTTGAGCGCTGTCTTTTGCATGATATTTTTTTTCTCGATTGTATGCTGCTGATTTTTGATCATGATTGCAGGAAATTTTTTTCGAAATCTTCCAACCCCAAAAACAAATGGTCCGCCCCTTATTATATATCCTTCAACCATGTTTCGCTCAAAACGACGTCAAAATTATAACGTTCAATGGCGAATAAAAGGTCATCAAAGGTTGTAACCATGCTCTGTGTGTTAACATGCATGACTTTAATGTGTTTGTTGTTATTCGTCAAGGCTTCTAAATGGTGGTCGTGTGGTTGTTCAAAGTTACTTTGATTTATTGGGCTTTCAGAAATTATGTTCTCTAGGCCATGGAATGGAAGTTCAGTACTAATACAATGTGGGCATGTCCAAGTTTGTGCTTGATTTGATTTCATACCTTTTAGCAAAGCCGCACTGACCCCGACACAAGTGGCGTGACTTCGATCTAAACATACACCAGATTCTATTTCCTTGTTATGCTACGTCACAAGGAAATCACATAAGAGATTGCGTAACAATTACCCAACATTCAGTGCGTACCTAATTCGGCGTTCAGTGAGGGTACAGAAAATTCTGTGCCCAAAATTATTGAAAAATATTTAAAATTTTAATTGAATTCGTTACAAAAGAACGCTTAAAAGCGAAACCAACTGTTCCGGAGCAATTTGAACCAATAATTTGGTGGTTTTGCTCGAGGATTCAGTGCGATTACCAGGAATCGTCCACGGACTCAACATGGCCGACTCCGAGGGCGAAATCGAAGATGATGCACGACTGCTCGAAGGCGATGAGGCCACACATGCACAAGAAAGTCCTTCTGGCGATCGGCACGAGAGTCAATCCAATATGGAGAAGTTCGAGGAGCTATCGGGCAACATTAAAGATGGTTTTTCTTCGCTTGGCGAATTGTTGACAGATCTGATGCAACAAAAATCACGAGGCAAGCGCTCCCGCCAAAAATCAAGGTCTTCCTCGCCGGACTCGGCTGACGGCGACCAAACAACCAGCCCTAAACGGGCAAGGCTCGAGGATGAACAGAACGACGACGTAGCTGTGTTGCTTGGCGAATCCCAGCCCCACGGGGGAAATTCTGGCAATGACGATGAAAAAGAATTTGGCGTAATTTTGGACAGTGTTGTCCAAGAGCTGGACGAAGAACAGTTGGGGCCTGCTGTGTCCGAGAAGCTTGCCCAAGTTATTAATAAAACTCTGCGCTCAAAATTGAGCGAGGAAAAACTTAAAGAAAAGCAAAACGCTTACCCTAGACCACAAAACTGTGAATCACTAGAAACTACTCGGGTTAATCCAGAAATCTGGGCACAACTACAATCTTCAACCAGATCTCGGGACATACGTCTCCAGAAAGTACAAAAGGGCTACTGCCGTTAGTTCAGCTCCTTGAAAATTGTCGACAATCGGATGATACGTCGACTGATAAAGGAAAAATCATCAAGCTGGTACTTGACTCAGTAAGCCTAGTCGCTCAGGCAAATGTAGAGCTCAATAGCCGGCGACGAGCATTGATTAAGCCTGATTTGAATTAAAAATTTCAGCAAATCTGTGGCGATCATGTGCCGATTACAACATTGCTTTTTGGTGATGATGTGGCCAAGACACCTCAGGACATTGTTTCCACAAACCGTGTCAGCCAAAAGGTTGCAACACCTACTCGTCGGCCCAGCTATGCTCACCAAAACAACTTTAATCGGCATTCAAAAAATGGACGGGGGAGGTTCAGGCCCCAAAACAACCTCCCACGTTACAAAAGGGGCCAGCCAAAGCCACTACAAACCACAGAGTCAGTGAAACTCGATAAACAGGTTAGTACCATATATTCATTTAATGATGATACTATACCACCCTTCACAGCTGGTAGGCTAAAACATTTTCAGACTGCTTGGTCAAAAATTACTTCAGACCAATGGATATTATAAGCAATGCAGGGAGTGGAAATTGAAGAGCTAACTGTCAGTAGTTCTGAGAAGTGCATTGTTGATAATGAAATCACCAAGTTATTAATGAAAGGGCTAATTGAGCCCACTAACCAAGAATCAGGGGAGTTTATTTCTACCATTTTTCTTCGCCCGAAAAAAGATGGGACCTTTAGAGTAATTTTGAATTTGAAAAGGTTAAATGAATTCGTTGAATACCATCACTTTAAGATGGACACTATTTATACTGCAATACATTTGATGAAACAGGGCTGCTTCATGGCCTCTATTGATTTGCAAGATGCATACTATACTGTACCAGTATGCCCTAATCACAGGAAGTATCTAAAATTTTCTTGGCGAGGACAATTGTATCAATATTCATGCCTGCCAAATGGTCTGGCCTCAGCCCCACGTATTTTTACAAAAATCTTGAAGCCAGTCTATGCATCACTGCGGAATAAGGGGCACATCTCCTTCGCGTATATTGATGACTCATACTTGCAGGATGACAACTTTGAGGGTTGTAAGACAAATGTCCATGACACAACCACAATGTTTGATTCATTGGGGTTTATTCCCCCATCAGACCAAGTCAGTAACCATCCCTGCCCAACAACTTGTTTTATTGGGGTTTTTGCTTAATTCTAAGGACATGACGGTCTCTTTAACCTCTGATAGAGCCACAAAGCTTAAAACTGCTTGCATAAATTTGTTAGCAAAGAGGAGACCTTTAATTCAGGAGGGTGCACATGTTATTGATCTTATGGTGGCTAGTTTCCAGCCGTGACCTTTGCACAGCTATTCTATCGGGCTTTAGAAAGGGATAAAACCCAAGCTCTTAAACTGCAAAAAGGTAATTATGCAGCAAATATGACCCTATCACAAGATGCTCTTGCTGATTTACGGTGGTGGATATACAATATTGAGACATCCTCCAAACCTGTTCTGGCCAGCCAGCCAGATATGGTCATTCAATCTGACGCGTCACTATTAGGCTGGGGTGCCCATAGTGATGGAAAGCATGCAGGAGGCCCATGGGGAGAAACCGAAGCTAAGGTACACATTAATGTGTTAGAAACAACTGCAGCCTTTTTAGCATTGCAGTCTTTTTGTTCTCGAACAATTAATAAACATGTTCGATTAGAACTTGACAATACCACAGCTGTAGCTTATGTGAAAAATATGGGTGGAAACCAGTCCTCAGAATGCAATGCAATGGTAAGACAAATGTGGATTTGGTGCATTCAGAAAAACATCTGGGTATCGGCAACCCATATCCCAGGTGTCACTAATGTAGAAGCAGATAAAAAAAAATCCAGGCAATTTGATGACCATACAGAATGGGCATTAAATGATCAAGTTTTTGATAGGATCTGTGTAAAAATTTTTAAACCCCAAGTGGACTTGTTTGCATCCCGGCTTAACAAGAAGTTAGAGCAATATGTCTCTTGGCAGCCAGATCCTAAGGCAGTAGCAGTTGATGCTTTCAGCATGAACTGGGCTACTAAAAGCTTTTATGCTTTTCCTCCTTTTAGCCGGTTAACAAAAGTTTTGCAAAAGATCCAGGAGGAATCAGCAGAGGGTATACTGATAATACCCCTGTGGCCTACACAACCATGGTACCCTGTGGCAATGCAAATGTTGGTCAACCACCCACAGATTTTGCCCAAAATGCAACGTCTACTTTACTTACATCACAATCTGGACAGGATGCACCCACTACATCAGAAACTCAGACTACTGGCATGTCACTTATCTGGAAATCACTCCAAAGTCAAGGCATTTCAAACCAAGCTGCCCACATCATCAAATCATGGCGAAGCGGAACTGTCCAGCAGTACCAAACGTACCTCAACAAATGGGCACTTTTCTGTAGTGAAAGGCAAGTTAATCCGATTTCTCCCTCTCTAACTGATGTTTTGGACTTTTTTACTGTACTATTTGATGAGGGAGTTCAGCATAGTGGCTTGAATACAGTTCGATCAGCATTATCTGCCATTATTCAATTACCAGGGAACATACCTGTGGGGCAGCATCCCCTGGTCTGCAGATTTCTTCGTGGTGTTTTCCAGGAAAGGCCAGCCCTTCCACGCTATAACACTACATGGGATGTTAACCTAGTGGTGACTTGCCTCAAGACATTATACCCTCTTGAGAAAATCACGCTTAAAGAACATTCTCATAAACTTGTTATGTTAATAGCATTGCTTTCTGGTCAAAGAACACAAACTATGACACTAATGGACATTACGAATATACAGTTTACCGATGCTGGTTGTACGTCTTATATGTATTACGTCTCCTCTGAAGCATACTCGACCATGTACATCAGCAGCCTATCAAATTATCATCTTACAATACGGATTTGAGTTTATGTGTTATCAAGACCCTCTGCTCGTACTTAGATAAGACAAAATCAGGCAGAGGACCAGAAACAAAATTGTTCATTAGTTACCAGAAGCCCTATAAAGCTGTTAGTGGAGATACAATCCGACGTTGGATTAAAACAGTTATGGAAAAAGCGGGAATCAACACCGACGTGTTCAAACCACACAGCACCAGGGCGGCATCTACTTCGGCAGCTAAGGCAGCGGGAGTTTCGATAGATGAGATACTCAGTAGTGCAGGATGGTCTAATTGTGCAACTTTTCAGACATTCTATAACAAACCAGTTGAAAATGGGGCAAGGTTTGCTGAAGCAGTTCTAAAGACAGTTAGTTAAAATTCTCACAGTACATTACATTTTTGTTGTGAGCTATTGCCTATTTTAAGGCTTGTATAGTTTATGTTATCAGCATTTACATTGTTGTTTATACACTTTGTTTATCTGTTTTCACTCCCAAACATTGGGCTTTAAAATCTCATGTGATTTCCTTGTGACGTAGCATAACAAGCAAATAGAATTCTAAAATTAAACGAGACTTACCTGTAAGTTGAAGTTTGATTGGAATTCTGTGACTTGTTATTCCTTGTTCCTGCATAACAAGTCACAGAATTCCAATCAAACTTCAACTTACAGGTAAGTCTCGTTTAATTTTAGAATTATTAAAGGCATCAGGGATTAGCGTTCCGTCAATTACTTCACCATTTTCATCTTTCATTTCTGGGATTTTATTATTAGTTGACTTTCTATTCATCAATTCGTTGAGTGTTTTCCATGTTTGTTTTAAATTTCCTGAAATGCTATGTAGTTTGCCTCGATAATACGAGCACTTTGTATCTTTTATTTGCCTATTGTATTGGTTTTTTGCCTTTTTGTAGACAGACCAGGCATCAGTTGTGTTGGTTCTAGCTTTCCTATGTAGGAAATTAATATGGCGTTTATTGTGAATTAGGCCTGTTATTAGCCAAGGTAGCCGCTTAGTTCTGACTTTCCGTACGCTTTTTACTGGGGCATGGTTGTTCCAGATTCTGAAGAATTTATTCTTTCGAATCTGCCAAGATATATTTGGATAGTGTTGGTCCAGGTCAAAATCGGATAAGTATAATTTTACAGGTCGCGCAAAAATATTTGTTCGTTGAAATATTTGTAGTCGCAGTATTCGATTATTTTTGCATTTTCTTTGCAGACCTTAAATTTTCTGATGCCATAAATAAGATAATGATCACTTATGGAAACAGTTGACACTCCCTTTGAAATAATATTATCAGGATTTGTTGTATAAAAGTGATCAATTAATGTCCTAGTATCTTTAGTAACTCTTGCGTAGGTTCACTTATCAATTGTTCATATTGATACAGTCCTGTAATAAATTTGAGTTCCGAAGATATATAGATATAGCTCGAGATATAGACTTGCGGATAAGAAGTCATAATATACATCTCCTAAAATAATACTTTCTTTACTGTCATTATCGATTAGTTGTAAACAGTTCTCAAATCTATAAAGGGTGTCAATTGGATCATTTGGTGGTCGATACCACGTTGTAATTAAGAACGGTTTAACGTTCTGTTTACTGTTTACTGTTTACTGTTTACTGTTTACTGTTTACTAACTTGTATTGTAAGAATTTCAATATCAAGATTATTCAGGTCAGTTCGAGGTCGAACATTTATTGACTGCTCTGATGAAAAAACCGATACCACCCCCAGATCTATTTCTGTTTTTGGAAATCTAATTGTATAACCTTGAATGGCCATTAACTGGATTGGCACACTATCGTCCATTCGTGTTTCATAATTGCAAGAACATCTGTTTCTTTATTATTCATGCAGATCCGAAGTTCGTCAATATGTTTTGGTTTATGTTCAAACTGAGAAGCTATTTTGAAGCCTCGGATAGCCGGAACTAACCGGTCTTGTTGACTGTCAATATATAATTTGAATTTGAATTTGAATTGTGCTCATAGGGTAGGGTTGACTTTCTAGTTCCGCACATTGTGCTTTTTTTTTGAGATAGTTCGATATTGTCCTTATTGCAATCTACTGTGGTAATCAGGCAGTCAATAGTTAATTAGTTTTAGAAAATCACTAAGATTCTTAGCTAAGATTGCAGTTCCTTGTTTACTCAGGTGAACACCATATGTGATATGGGTTTAAGTGTTTAACTAAAATGTTTCCATGAGTTAGCAAACCCCATCTATTGCTTAGACATATCTGTCATAGTTTTGAATTGACTTCTTTGACTTTTATCATGAATTGAAGGACCATTGATAACGTATATTCCTATTGTTTTGGGTGGGACATTCTTTATAGCTATGTTATTCGCGCGAGTTCACATAGATAACATACAACTAGGAGTAACCACAGGTTAAAAGTGCGACCAATGTATATTGCATCGCACTCCATAACGATATAAAAATTCTCCTTTTCTTGATGTGTCACAACAAGTATAATAAGTATATACACTGATATATACAAAGCGTTGTCCAAGTATAAACAATACAGTTCTATTATGTTCTACTTTATTTTTTTTGGTGCAAAATATAATTTTGAATATCAACAAGGTCAGGCCGAAATAGATTACAACAAAGGGTCATAAATAACAAATAACAACTAAAATCTAAACAGCTAGTGCAACTGTATATAAACTCGGCAAACGGTCATAGATAACAAATAAATAACTCAATGTAACTCCTATTAAGTGCAAATCGAACTGCTAAACAAATTTTCAAAACTACACTAGCTAGACAACAATTTTCGACATATATTTTGTTTTTTTTCGAGGGTTTTTTGGCACGTTTGCCGATGTTTTTTGCGCAATTTACACATGAAGTTAATACGCAACTATTAAATCGAACTGCGCTGTACAAGTTTTCAAAACTACACTAGTTAGGGAAGCCTCACATATCGATTTTGTCCATGAGAAACGTCATATGTTCGTTTCTCTGGAGACCCCTCCACCCCCACCTTTAGAAACGTCACACATAGTTATCGATATTTTGTTCTTATAGTACACAAAAGGTAATTTTCTGCTATTTTCTACGGTCGGCTATTGGCGAAGCTTCCGCGAGGAATATGTCATCTTCTGCTGACATACCTATCTTTTTTATTTAATGTATGAACTTTAAAATTTCCAATGTTTCTCAAAACAACTTTTTTTGCATGAAATATTGATAATTTTAGCGCGTTTTTCTTGAAATTATAATAAAGATATATGTATACGAATAGAACAGGTATGATATTACGAATGTATAGACTGTTGTTTGTATCGAGTTGTTTTCTTTTTTATATTCTGCAAAGATGATTCTGAAATGTTAAGGCTTTCGAAAAAACTATCGAATTTTTCCATGATGTTTACAGAGAAACGTCACAGCTGCAACCCCCCCCCCCCCAAACGAACATATGACGTTTCTCGTGGTAAAAAAACGATATGTGAGGCTTCCCTTAGACAATGGTATGCAAAAAGTTCAGTGCATGAACAAATATATATATATATATTGTAAATGTTTAAAATTTAAAAACTATCAGTTTAATTAATACATAAAAGTTTAAAAACTGGCTTTTCCTCTTTAATAATCACAAAAACTGAACAAAGAATGCACGAAACAGCACGATCAGGCTGATCGGCACGATTGCACGAACTACGAAGGCAACATTTTCCATGTGGCACGCCATATATGGTCACGAGTTCCATATACGGATAAAATGAGCCCGCAAAGGGTGTTGAATACACATTCCAGCGGAAAAAGGTGTTGAACACAATTTTTTCTCCCATATCTAAGATTAGGATGCTTCCAGCTCGCTCGCTGGTGCTAGCTCGCTGGTCGCAAAAATCTCATATATATATATATATATATATATATATATATATATATATATATATATATATATATATATATATATATATATATATATATATATATATACCGGGTGTCCCAAAAAAAAGTACTCCGGTTTGATTCGTAATAACTTCTAAAAAAGTACAGTTTTTAAAGATAAATAACTTGCATCAAATAGAGGAAGGACTAACTTAGATTTTGATATATTACAGTTGTATTTCACTTAAAAATTCACGGAGATATTAATGTTTAAAATCGGGAGCATATTTCTTGATGTGTCTGAAATATGCAAAAAACGGCGTATTAAATATTAATCAAGATTTGCCCGATTGAAACATGCACGATTACCAGTAAATAAATGACACTTGACATATTGTTTATTATGAAACAAATTATTATTATCTACAAAATGCAAGCAAGATTTATTCGTCCGAAATCCGCGTGTTTTCCTAGCACGAATACGTTTCCTTATTTCATGAGACCACTGCATCGCGAAGGATTGTCATGGATCGTTCGTAGTTCTGAATTAGGGCATGCTGTCACAATCGAATTGTGAAGTTCTTCTAACTTTTGCAACGTTCTGAAATCTTGTTAAAAACACTCAAACTCTTTTTCTTGTCTTAATCTTTTTAATTTCAGAATAAACTGAGAATGAAACACGATCAAACCATACAACTCGATAAGACATAACAAGCATGCAACTCCCCAGAGACATCTAACATTTTTGGAACAAAACGTACTAACAAAATAGTAGCGTTGATACTGTGATGTGTATTTGCAAAAAGCAATATTATTTCCTTCATTGCAGAATAATATTCATCCTGCTCTAACCGAGAAATAATCAACTCTGTTTTTAATCCATGAAAAACATAAAAAAAATTAGGCTATTTAAGAAATTTTAAAATTTAAGCGCCTGCCTTACATGGTCTTTCATGTACCTTATATGTTTGTAAAGACCTATTAAATACTTGCATAATTTTGTACGTTCATATTTCAGGAAACAATGAGCTAAGACTTACATGTAAGATGTCTAAATCTATGCCATATCCCTTACAAACCCTAACGACAATTCGCTGAAATTCAAGTTAGCCTGATATGTCATCAAGCAAACAAACGCTGAAGTTAATATTTGACATGCCGATTTTCGCTAATTTTAGACGCATTCAAAAATATGCTCCCGATTTTGAACAATAATATCTCCGTGAATTGTTAAGTAAAATACAACTGTAATATATCAAAATCTAAGTTGGTCCTTCCTCTATTTAATGCAAGTTATTTCTGTTTGATAGCTTTACTTGTTTAGAAGTTATTACAAGTCAAACCGGAGTACTTTTTTTTGGGACACCCGGTATATATATATATATATATATATATATATATATATATATATATATATATATATATATATATATATATATATATATATATATATATATATATATATATATATATATATATATATATATATATATATATATATATGATACTCCATTTTGATACCCCACCTGGGCATCTATACATGATGCATAATATATTGTCCCCGAGCCGGGGATAAAACGCTGGAATGGGGATAAAACGCTGAAATGGGGATAAAACGCTGAAATGGGGATAAAACGCGCCATATGGCTGGTGTTTTGGGTGTAAAACCGGTGTCACAGGAATTTCCCGGGAATTGTCAGGACATGTGTCTAAATCAGAAAAAAGTTTTTCCTCTCTTGCATACACGCGTAAAAATCATGAACTTGTAGTTGCAATATTATTTGGCTGTTTATGGTCACGTGATATTGAATATA